GAAGAGAGGAGGAGAAGGGAAGCAAGAGAGGATGAGCGAAGAGAGGAGAAGGGATGCAAGAGAGAAGAGGAGGAGCGAAGAGAGGCGGAGAAGGGAAGCAAGAGAGGAGGAATAGGGAAGAGAGGAGGAGGAGGAGGCGGGAAGGAAGGAAGGTGGAGACCGCAGTGCTCTATTCAAAACGAGTACCCAACGCAGGAGGGTTGGGAAATTACCCTGGCGACGTACCCAACCCCTGCGCAAAAGCGGGGCGCAAATAGTTTAGGATACTTTATAAGGGGGCGATGACGGAGCGAGGGTATACATATATCGGCGCACCGGGTCCGGGGGCCCGGGGCCGGGACCCCGACCGCAAATGTGCACCCCGGGGGCCCCGGAGGCTCGTCGGGGCTTGCCGGAGGCCTCCCCGGTCAGACAAGACGGCCCCAGAAACGCCCAAGACGGCCCAAGAAACTTCCAAGAGGCCTCCAAGAGGGCTCCGAGATGCTGAAGATGGCCTCCAGACGTCCAAGGACGCCCCCCAAGACGCCCCAAGAAGCCTCCAACATGCGTCCCAAGAGGGCCCCTAGACGCAAAAATTGGCCCATTCCCTTCGTAAAACGTACATTTTTCACAAAGTCGCCTTTTGGGCTTTCCGACGTTACAGGACGGCCCAAGAGGCGCCCAAGACCGCCCCAAGACGGCCCAAGAAGCTCCCAAGAGTGCCCCAGGACAGCCCAAGAGGGCCCCAAAACGGCCCAAGAGGCGCCCAAGATGGCCCAAGAGGGCCCCAAGACGGGCCCAAGAGGGGGCCCAGAGGGGGACCACGAACCGCAAGCTCGAGCCTTCCGCCCCAAGAGGCCGCCAGCAGGCCCCAAGGAGGCCCCTCAAGAGGCCCCAGGAGACCCCAGACGTCCAAGGACGCCCCCAAGAGGCCCAAGAAGCCTCCAACATGCGTCCCAAGAGGGCCCCTAGACGCAAGAATTGGCCCATTCCCTTCGTAAAACGTACATTTTTAACAAAGTCGCCTTTTGGGCTTTCCGACGTTACAGGACGGCCCAAGAGGCGCCCAAGACCGCCCCAAGACCGCCCAAGAAGTTTCCCAGAGGGCCCCAGGACAGCCCAAGAGGGCCCCAAGACGGCCCAAGAGGCGCCCAAGATGGCCCAAGAGGGCCCCAAGACGGGCCCAAGAGGGGGCCCAGAGGGGGACCACGAACCGCAAGCTCGAGCCTTCCGCCCCAAGAGGCCGCCAGGAGGCCCCCAGGAGGCCCCTCAAGAGGCCCCAGGAGACCCCAGACGTCCAAGGACGCCCCCAAGAGGCCCCAAGAAGCCTCCAACATGCGTCCCAAGAGGGCCCCTAGACGCAAAAATTGGCCCATTCCCTTCGTAAAACGTACATTTTCAACAAAGTTGTCTTTTGGGCTTTCCGACGTTACAGGACGGCCCAAGAGGCGCCCAAGACCGCCCCAAGACGGCCCAAGAAGCTTCCAAGAGGGCCCCAGGACAGCCCAAGAGGGCCCCAAGACGGCCCAAGAGGCGCCCAAGATGGCCCAAGAGGGCCCCAAGACGGGCCCAAGAGGGGGCCCAGAGGGGACCCCACGTGGGCCCAAGGAGGCCCAAGAGGGACCCAAGAGAGCCCCAAGAGAGCCCCAACATCGGTCACGCGGAAGAGCTCTCGCGTGACCGATGTTGGGCCCCTCTGTGGGCTCCTCTTGGAGCTCCGAGAGGAGCCAAAGATGGCCCCACGAGGGCCCCGACGAGACCCCAAGAGGACCCAAGCAGGCCCAAGAGGGACCCAAGAGAGCCCCAGCATAGGTCACGCGGAAGAGCCCTCGCGTGACCGATGTTGAGCCCCTCTTTGGGCTCCTCTTGGAGCTCCAAGAGGGGCCCACGATGGCCCCACGAGGGCCCCGAGGGAGCCCCACGTGGGCCCAAGGAGGCCCAAGGAACCCCAAGATGGCCCCAACATCGGTCACGCGGAAGAGCTATCGCGTGACCGATGTTGGGCCCCCTCTTTGGGCTCCTCTTGGTGCTCCGAGAGGAGCCCAAGATGGCCCCGCGAGGGCCCCGTCGAGACCCCGAGAGGGCCCAAGGAGGCCCAATAGGGCCCCAAGAGGGCCCCAACATCGGTCACGCGAAAGAGCTCGCGCGTGACCGATGTTGGGCCCCTCTGTGGGCTCCTCTTGGAGCTCCGAGAGGAGCCCAAGGTGGCCCCACGAGGGCCCCGACGAGCCCCAAGAGAGCCCAAGAGGGCCCCAAAAGCGCCCCAACATCTCCTCTCCTTCCTCCTCCTCCCTCCTCTGCATCTTCCTCCTCCTCCTCCTTCTCATCCTCCTCCTCCTCCTCCTCCTCCTCCTCCTCCTCCTTCTCCTCTCCAGGGGAATGAAAACCAGAGGATAGCTCACGGAGAGCCCAAGCACCCTCTTGTTGCATCCATCTTGGCTTCCAGATGGAGCCCAAGAAGGCCCCAAGGAGGCCCCTCAAGAGGCCCCAGGAGACCCCAGACGTCCAAGGACGCCCCCAAGACGCTTCGCGTCACCAATTTCTTCTCGCAACGATTCCTGGGTCTGTGACTCGACAGAACCTAAGCGCGCGCGAAGCGCGCGCGTGGTTCTAGTTACATATGTCTGCAGACGGAATTCGGGAGACTCGCAGGACATTGGCTACAGGAAAAGGGCTTGATACAGCTGATGATTTACAATTCCTGAGCACTCCTAGCCACTTCGAAAACGGGGATCACAGCAGGCCTCGAAAGTGGCGACAGGTTCACAGATCGCAGCCCCGCAGGGATGGCGAGGTCTAATTTGAATCTGCCGCGTGGCCCTCACTGTGCTGGGCCCCCAGCAGGCCTCGAAAATGGCGGCAGTTTCGCAGATCGCAGCCCCCAGGGATGGCGAGGTCTAATTTGAATCCGCGCGTGGCCCTCACTGTGCTGGGCCCACCCGGCAGGCCTACGAAAATGCGACAGTTTCCGCTAGATCGCAGCCCCCCAGGGATGGCGAGGTCTAATTTGAAATTTGCGTGGGGTGGCCCTCACTGTGCTGGTCCCCCAGCAGGCCTCGAAACAGGCGACGTTTTCGCAAGATCGCAGCCCCCCAGGGATGGCCGAGGTCTAATTTGAATCTGCCCGTGGCCCTCACTGGTGCGGGCCCACCGCAGGCCCTCGAACGTGGCGACAGTTTCAAAGATCGCAGCCCCCCAGGGATGGCGAGGTCTAATTTGAATCTGCGGTGAGTACCCACTGTGCTGGGCCCCCCAGCAGGCCTCGAACGTGGCGACAGTTTACAGATCGCAGCCCCCCCAGGGATGGCGAGGTCTAATTTGAGCCCGCGGTGGGTACCCACTGTGCTGGGCCCCGCAGCAGGCTTCGAAAAAGGCGACAGTTTACAGATCGCAGCCCCCTCCAGGGATGGCGAGGTCTAATTTGAATCTGCGTGTGGCGTCACTGTGCTGGCAGGCCCCGAAAGTGGCGACAGTTTCACATATCGCAGCCCCCTAAAAAAAAAGAGGCGGGATGGCGAGGTTTAATTTGGGTCCGCCCGTGCTTCACTGTGCTGGGCCCCCCAGCAGGCCTCGAAAATGGCGACAGTTTCGCAGATCGCCGCCCCCCAGGGATGGCGAGGTCTAATTTGAATCTGCGCGTGGCCCTCACTGTGCTGGGCCCCCCAGCAGGCCTCGAAAATGGCGACAGTTTCGCAGATCGCAGCCCCCCAGGGATGGCGAGGTCTAATTTGAATCCGCGCGTGGCCCTCACTGTGCTGGGCCCCCCAGCAGGCCTCGAAAAAGGCGACAGTTTCGCAGATCGCAGCCCCCCAGGGATGGCGAGGTCTAATTTGCCTCCGCCCGTGGCCCTCACTGTGCTGGGCCCCCCAGCAGGCCTCGAAAATGGCGACAGTTTCGCATATCGCAGCCCCCCAGGGACGGCGAGGTCTAATTTGGGTCCGCCCGTGGCCCTCACTGTGCTGGGCCCCCCAGCAGGCCTCGAAAATGGCGACAGTTTCACAGATCGCAGCCCCCCAGGGATGGCGAGGTCTAATTTGGGTCCGCCCGTGGCCCTCACTGTGCTGGGCCCCCCAGCAGGCCTCGAAAGTGGTGACAGTTTCACAGATCGCAGCCCCCCAGGGATGGCGAGGTCTAATTTGGGTCCGCCCGTGGCCCTCACTGTGCTGGGCCCCCCCAGCAGGCCTCGAAAGTGGCGACAGTTTCACAGATCGCAGCCCCCCAGGGATGGCGAGGTCTAATTTGGGTCCGCCCGTGGCCCTCACTGTGCTGGGCCCCCCAGCAGGCCTCGAAAATGGCGACAGTTTCGCAGATCGCAGCCCCCCAGGGACGGCGATGTCTATTTTGGGTCCGCCCGTGGCCCTCACTGTGCTGGGCCCCCCAGCAGGCCTCGAAAGTGGCGACAGTTTCGCAGATCGCGGCCCCCCAGGGATGGCGAGGTCTAATTTGGGTCCGCCCGTGGCCCTCACTGTGCTGGGCCCCCCAGCAGGCCTCGAAAGTGGCGACAGTTTCACAGATGGCAGCCCCCCAGGGATGGCGAGGTCTAATTTGGGTCCGCCCGTGGCCCTCACTGTGCTGGGCCCCCCAGCAGGCCTCGAAAATGACGATAGTTTCGCAGATCGCAGCCCCCCAGGGATGGCGAGGTCTAATTTGGGTCCGCCCGTGGCCCTCACTGTGCTGGGCTCCCCAGCAGGCCTCGAAAGTGGCGACAGTTTCACAGATCGCAGCCCCCCGCAGGCAAGACAGGAGGAGGCAGGCAGGAGGCAGGAGGGAGGCGGGAGGAGACGCGACCACACTGCTCTATTCAAAACGAATACCCAACCAAGGAGGGTTGGGAAAAAAAGGCACCGCCGCGCTCGGCCGAAGAGGAGGAGGAGGAGGAGGAGGAGGAGGAGGAGGAGGAAGAGGAGGAGGAGGAGGAGGAGGAGGAGGAGGAGGAGGAGGAGGAGGAGGAGGAGGAGTTGGAGGAGGAGGGGGAGGAGTGCCGCCGGGAGAAGGTCGGGGCGGGCGGGGGTCTTCGCCAGGACCGTGCAGGAGGGGGGCTCTGGGCAGCAGCCGGCCGGCGCAGGAGGCGCGCCGCGCCCCTGGACGGCGGCGGCAGCGGCTGTGGCGGCGGCGAGGGCGGCGTCGGCGGCGGCCTCGGGTCTTCGAGTAACTTCAGGAGGGCAAAACACACACACACACAGACACAATTCATCGTTGATTCCCCAGAAGATATGGGAAACTATGGGAAGTGGGGGGGAAGACAGACACCTAGAAAATATGGGAAAATCTGTGGAATATGCCATCTGTTTACAGAATAGCATGTGTAGCTCCCCTCGTGTAGTTTGTTCAGAAGATGCCAGTGATGCTCGGTTTATAAACGTGGACGCCCGGGAGGGGGCGGGGGAAATTCTGTACAAAACGACCGTTTTGTACAGAATTTCCCCCCTGGCGTTTTGAACGTGTCTGTTGCACTACGGTGAACTCCGCCGGTCGCAGCTCATGGAACGCATTGGCATCGCAGCGGGTCAGAATGATCAGGATTCGCCGGCAGAGTCTCTCAGCACATGTCTGTATTGCTCTGTCCGTGGCTATCCTGGCTCAAGTTTTTGAGGGCCTATGTACTGGTATTCCGATATCGCTTCTTGGTGCCGCGATATCGCCAGCATCGGCGCACACTGGTACACCGCCTCTGTGGTCAGCTCGTGCCCGGCTCCGCCCGCGTGCCCGACGCTGACCTGCGCGCCCCAGCCGGCGTGCCCGCAGGTCACCTGCGGCAATTGCTCGTGCGCGGAGGCCCTGCCGCTCCGCGAGATCCTGTGGGGCTCGGCCGGGGTCGCTCTGGCTGCCGGCTCTGCGGGCCTCGCCGCTGGGGCCGCGGTGGGCTTCGCGGCCGGGCGCCTGGTCCTGCTGCCAGGCGCTTGCCAGCGCCGGCGAGAGGCTGGGGCGGGAGGCGCCCAGCCGCGGCCAGGCCCAGCCGCCGAGGCCATCGTGGACGAGCCTCCGGCCCAGGCGCCGGCGTCGAATCGCGCAAGGTTGCTGGCGCGGGCAGGCACAGGACAGGGGCAGATCGTGACCGCCTAATTGGGCAATGGCGCTGGAGCCAGGTATCACCGTTTTCCTCAACTACGGGGACGCGCTCTATCATGAGCGGATCCTGCTGGCGTGGGTGGTAGATTCGCTGTTCATCGTCATCACGCCTGACTTTGACGTGTACATTGAACAAATTGACGCTTCTAATCCAGATCTCGAGGCTCTGAGGGTTAGCGACCATGCGGGCTCGATCCCATTTGGGCTCACGGGGGCGCAGCTATATCGCTTTCGAGCTCGGCCCGCTGGAGCTGACTTGGTGAACCTCATGGCCGAGGGTCGGCACCACGCGAGAGTGGAGCGGGCGGCGCGAGGCCTGGCCCCGCCACCAGGGCAGGATGACATCATCGGCCCGGGAGGCAATGCGCCGGCGGTCGTGCCCATCCCGTTGCCTGTGCCGCCGCCAGTGGCTCCTGGAGTGCCCGCGGTTCCCATGGCCCCGCGCGTGGCGGGCGCCGCGGGGGCATGGGTTTTCGACGAGCCGGGCGATTCCTTCGCCGTCGGCCAGGAGTTCGCCCTGCCGGCCAACGCTCTCGACGTGGGGGGCCGGACATTCGTGTCCGTCAACGGCAAGGCGGTCAGCGGGACGCGCGTCGCGGCTGGGACAGACCTTGATGGGTGGGCCCGGCAGCGCCAGGCGCAGCTGATGAGGGCGGACCCTCGTGTCCTGCCTCGCCCCGCTGGCGGTGAGCAGTCGGCTTTCGTCGACGATGTGAGGCTGATGAAGCGCGACCCCAGCGTCCCAATCGGGATCAAGGGCCCCGCCACGCTGCCCGACACCCTCGCGGACCTCAGGAAGGGCTCGACTGGGGGGTTCACGGCCGCGCACGACCGTTGGTTGGTGGACTCGAAGGTGCCAGCCTCCAGCAGGTCCGGACACGAGCATCGTGTCCTGAGCCGTGCCTTGTCGATGGCACATGAAATCGACGGGCTGAACTTGCCGAACTTGACGTGCCTCGAGTACATTAATCGTCGCCGTCAGCTCATCGAGACGGCCCACCGCGACGATCCCGTAAGCGGGTCGTGGGACTCAGCCCATTTGTACATGGGCGAAGACGAGGAGGGCACCGGCGTCCACGTGGCGCCGTCGCTCCGCGCCCATGTCGCCACTGAGCTGTCCAAGGAGACGGCCATCGAGAAGGAGAGGAGAAAGGCCCGCGAGGCCAAAGCGGCGGCCAAGGCAAAGGCCAAGGCCGCCGGGGACAAATGACCAGTGGAGAGATCGGAGGCGGGCCGAGCCCCGCGGGCGCTCATCCTGGCGCGCCCGCCTCCATCGACCCTCTCAGCCAGGACGACGGCGTCGCGAACGTGGGTTGGGCCTGGCCTGATCGTCGTCGAGACGTCGCCCAATTCGAGCCGACGGTAAAGTCGGCTGGAGTGGAGCGGGACCTTTTTCCCCTGCCGCTCCTCGGCCCGGAGTGGCCTTGCAAGACAGGTGGCGGATCGTCCAGGACGGCTCGCCGCCACAGCAGCCTCCGCCGGCACGCATGGGAGGACGCCAACGGCATGGTCCGCGCCCTGAACTCCCTGTACGGGTGCGTCCGTCCGCCAGGCGGGGCTCCGACGCCTGCTCAGCATCAGGTACACAGAGATCTGCTGAGCACCGCTCGTGCTGCCAGGCAAGATTTTGAACGCGTCGTTCCCCGGGAAGCCGCTCGTCGACTTCTGGGTCCCAAAATGGAGCATGGAGGTGACGGCACCACGGTCGAGCCATTCGACGGGGACCGCGTCTCCCTGCCCCCTCTCGGCAAGGGGGCGGCCTGCCTCTCGGGCGCGCTCGACCCGGAGGCGGCCGCAGTTTTGCAGAACTTTGAGACTGACCTGCTCGCCTCGCCTGACGTGGTGGAGCAGCGGCGTATGTTCGCGCCGGCGCAGCCGTACCTCGACCTCGAGTTCCGGGCGAGCCGGCCCAAGTACATCCAGTTCTTGTCGATGTTGAAGTCCCGCGGCATCATCTCTCTTGTCGGCCGCCGCCGAGGCAGCGTGACCCCGTTTTTCGTTTCCAAGAAAAATGGGAAGCAGCGTTTGGTGCTGGACTGCCGGCTCATCAACATCCTTTTCCACCACGCCCCCGTGATGGAGATCGGAGCGCTGGACTGCCTGAGCGGGCTCGAGGTGCCGCGGGGCCGCCAGGTGTTCACGGCGTCGGCGGACATCGAGGCCTGCTTCTACCAGTGTGGCGGGCTGGGGTCGCTCATCGAATTCTTCTGTCTGCCAGGAATCTCGGTGGCAGAAGCGACGCACCTGGGCTTCGACGTCACGGGCTTGTTCCACGACGCAAAGATGAAGCTTCACGTGGCGTTGAACGTGCTGCCGATGGGCTGGTCCTGGGCCTTCTGGTTCGTCCAGCGCGTCCACCTAGAAATGCTGCGGCGCGCTGGGATTGACTCCAGTCGCCTGGCGCTTGGCGGGTGGCCGCTGCCGCTGCTGGAGGGCGGCCCTGTCGAGCTCCCATACTCCGACAACGTGAACGTGATCGGGCTGGACCCGGTCGCCGTCGGGGAGCTCCGCGACAAGATCGTCTCCACCTTCGAGCGGCATGGCTTCGCGATGCACGAGATTTCGCCCGTCTCGGACGCCGCGGTGATCCTGGGCGCGAGCGTCGGCGGATCTCCGCCGAGCACGCGCCGGGTCTTGAACAAGTTGCTGTTAGTGCGAGGGGCGCTGCAGTGGCTGGCTTCGGGGCCCACCGTCACTGGGCGCCAGGTGGAGGTCATCGTCGGGCACTACGTTGCGCTCACGTCCTTCAACAGGCTCGGGCTCAGCGTGATGCGGTCGCTGTACGATTTCATCCGCGACAAGTACGTCATGCCGACGCGCTTGTGGGCCTCCTGCCGGTACGAGGCGTGGGTAATGGCCGACGTGAGCTTGCTTCTCTCTGCGAGGCTCGACCGGCCGTGGTCGCCCGTCGTGACGGCCTCCGATGCCGCGAACCGTGGCATGGCGGTGTGCGAAGCAGTTTTCCCGGTCTCCGCCGTGGCCTCCGTCGGGCGATGGCGGGAGCGGTGGAGGTACAGGCGGCTGAATCCCGACGAGTGGGCGCCGAGGCGCCGTGCCCTTGCCCAGGAGTTCGCTGAGATCGAAGATCCCCTCACCGTCACTGCCTGCTCACCGTCGCCATCTGGTCCAGGGTGGTCTCTTCATCAAGGATTTCCAGAGGTTCCTCGGGAGCTCGCGACGACAGGGTACCGCACGATATATGCTGGCCCCCTACGTTATCAGGAACATATCGGTGTCAAGGAGGGGCGGGCGTTTCTGTGGGGGCTCAGACGGGCTGCTCGCGACGTTCGGAACTTCGGAACTATCAGGCTATTTCTCATCGACAACTTCGGGGTTTGCTGCGGGCTGGATCGGGGGAGGTCATCGTCACACGCCATATTGCAGTTGTGCCGTCGGACCGCTGCCATCTGTCTCGCAAGCGGGATCAGCCCCAGGTTCCGCTGGATCCCGTCCGAGTTCAACCCCGCGGACGCGGGCAGTCGGCTCTTCGAGCACCAGGGCCCGCTCGGCCATGCTTGGTCCGCTGAGTCGAGCTGGCGCCGGGCCCTCGCAGAGCTGCGAGGAGAGGCCGACAGCCGAGGCCGAGGCTGCGCCGACTCCGGCCCCCACGCCTGCTGCGGGACCGCCGAAGCGGCGGCCAGCCGCCAGGCGGCGGCCTGCGGCGGCCGGCCCCCGCGCCCGGCAGCAGCCGGCCGCTGCCCCCCGGCCGAGGCGGGTCGCGGCGGCGCTGAGCCAGGCATCCAAGTCGCCGGCCTCGGCCGCGGCCCGCTCGCACTGCGAGGAGGCCGCAGCAGGCGCTGCCACGCGCGCCAACTACAGGCCGCTCTGCGACGCCTTCCTCGACTTCTGCCAGACGAAGGGCCGCGTCCCAGCCGACGTCAACGAGCTGCAGATCAGGCTGCTCGAGGCGCTCGACCACCTGCTTGGGGCCGATGGTACCAAGGGCGATGCGGACACGCTCGTGGCGGCGGTCAAGGATCACTTCCCCTTCGCGGTCGGCTCGGGGACTCTGCCTCGGGTGACCCGCGCCCTACGGGGGTTCGGGAAGAAGCGGCCGCCTCGGTCCCGGGCACCGGCACCAAAGGAGCTCATGGCGGCAGCGGTGTCGATGCTGCTGGCCCTGGGGCTGTACGACCAGGCGCTGCAAGTCGCGGTTCTGTTCTACACCTACATTCGCCCTGGGGCTCTCCGACAGCTGACGGTCGGGCAGCTGCTGCCCCCCGGCCGAGGCGGGTCGCGGCGGCGCTGAGCCAGGCATCCAAGTCGCCGGCCTCGGCCGCGGCCCGCTCGCACTGCGAGGAGGCCGCAGCAGGCGCTGCCACGCGCGCCAACTACAGGCCGCTCTGCGACGCCTTCCTCGACTTCTGCCAGACGAAGGGCCGCGTCCCAGCCGACGTCAACGAGCTGCAGATCAGGCTGCTCGAGGCGCTCGACCACCTGCTTGGGGCCGATGGTACCAAGGGCGATGCGGACACGCTCGTGGCGGCGGTCAAGGATCACTTCCCCTTCGCGGTCGGCTCGGGGACTCTGCCTCGGGTGACCCGCGCCCTACGGGGGTTCGGGAAGAAGCGGCCGCCTCGGTCCCGGGCACCGGCACCAAAGGAGCTCATGGCGGCAGCGGTGTCGATGCTGCTGGCCCTGGGGCTGTACGACCAGGCGCTGCAAGTCGCGGTTCTGTTCTACACCTACATTCGCCCTGGGGCTCTCCGACAGCTGACGGTCGGGCAGCTGCTGCCCCCAGCGAGGCGGTCGGGGCCGCTGAGCCACTGGTCGATCATCCTGGCACCGACCGAGACGGTGGGCGCGCCCCGGGTCCTGACCAAGACCGGCACCTCGGACGAGACGGTGCTGCTGGACGAGCCCGCCTGGCTGGGGCCTGTGCTGCAGGCGCATGCGCGGGGCAAGCCTCCGACCGCCCCCCTCTTCACGACGGGCGGCCCAGGCATGGCAGCGGCCTTCGGCCGTGCTGTGGCCGCCCTGGGCGTCCCGGGCGTATGCCTGTACCAGCTCCGGCACGGCGGGGCCAGCGACGACCTGCTCACCCAGAGGCGGCCGGCGGACGCCGTGAAGGCGCGCGGCCATTGGAAATCCGAGAGCAGCTTGCGCAGGTACGCGAAGCCCGGGGCCATTCACCAGCTGCTCAACGCGATGCCAGCGGAGAACAGGGCGTTCGGCGTCCAGCAGATGAACTTGCTCGAGCGCCTGCTGAAGCGCGAGGCGCCCGGATCGTGGGCGCCCCGCAGCGGCGTCGCTGCGGCGGCGTGAACTGGAAGGGCCGCGGCGGCCGGCTACACCGACCCCGCCGCTTTCGGAGGCCTGGGGAGGTGTTCGAGCTGATGGCGGGCTCAGCGCGCATTGCCGCTGCCGCCGCCGCTGCCGGTTTCCAGGCCCGGTCTTGGGAGCTGTCCGAGTCGGAGATGCAGGACTGCATGCACCCTCTCGTCAGAAAATGCATTTACGAGAGCCTCCGTTTGAGGCTAGTTGCCCTGCTGTGGATTGGCTCCATAAGCGCCACTTGGTCGCGTGCCAGACGCAACGTCTCTGGGCAGCCCGGGTGGCCAGCGCCGCTGCGGTCGCGAAAGTGCATCTTCGGTTTACCCCACCTCGCTGGGAAGGATCTGGCAGCTGTTCACGGAGGCAACGCTCGTGCGACCTGGGCCGCTCGCCTCTTCCAGTTCGCAGCGCTTCGAGGCTGCCCCGTGGTGATTGAGAACCCGCAGAGCAGTTTCATCTGGTGTCATCCAGAGTTCCAGCGCTTGTGCGAGAAGTGGCGGTATATCGACATTGACTATTGCGCCTTCGGTTGCCCATATCGTAAACGCACGAGACTCTTGTATGCTAACCTTGATATTTCTCGACTGAGTTGGGCGCACTGTTCTGGCAGGCACGTCTGCAGTTTCTCTCATCAACCGCACGTGGAGCTTGCTGGCAGGGCAGGCAAGACGTTTCATACCGCCAACGCCGTTGCATATCCACATGAATTGGCAGCGGCCGTTGCTCGCTGCCTGTGGGCCCGCCCGCCCTCCCGAGTACAGATACTCTGATCTGGGGATTGGCCAGAGAGTGATTGCCAGCTGGCGCGCGAGGCTCACAACTGCTCGCCCCGCGCTCGATCGAGTAGTCTGCGTGAAAACAGATCGAGGGGGGTGTTAGCATGTGCCATCTGTTTACAGAATAGCATGTGTAGCTCCCCTCGTGTAGTTTGTTCAGAAGATGCCAGTGATGCTCGGTTTATAAACGTGGACGCCCGGGAGGGGGCGGGGGAAATTCTGCACAAAACGACCGTTTTATGCAGAATTTCCCCCCTGGCGTTTTGAACGTGTCTGTTGCACTACGGTGAACTCCGCCGGTCGCAGCTCATGGAACGCATTGGCATCGCAGCGGGTCAGAATGATCAGGATTCGCCGGCAGAGTCTCTCAGCACATGTCTGTATTGCTCTGTCCGTGGCTATCCTGGCTCAAGTTTTTGAGGGCCCCCCCCTTGCCCTCCCTGTTCTTCTCCTCTTCTTCCTGCCGTTGGCAGCCAGAGAGTGATTGCCAGCTGGCGCGCGAGGCTCACAACTGCTCGCCCCGCGCTCGATCGAGTAGCCTGCGTGAAAACAGATCGAGGGGGGTGTTAGCATGTGTTTATGTGTGTGTGTTTATTTGTGTGTCCCAGGGCCCCTTCATAACTAGGGGGTCGACTACAGGGGAGACCCATGCCAAGAAGCACACTGCTTGCATCCAGGTTGCCGGGGGTGTCTCGGGCTTCGATGTGAGTTTGGCTACGGCAAGCGTGAGGATCCCACACCCAAACTCCATAGACTTCCTGGGGTCTCAGGGTAGGGCTTCTTGTGGAAGGTTTCTTGTGGTCGAGCTCCTACATCATTGACTTGCCCCCAACATGTTTCTTCTCGCCGCATCCACGAGACATGCGAAGAGTGCTCGCAGCTCTACGGGCATTCTACGTGTGGCCACGCATGGCCCGGCGAGGACGCCAAGTTTTTGGGGCGAACCCATTCTGTGGGCGATCCCCTGCTCGAGGCCTCCGGCCACGCGTGGTTCCTGCCGCCGCGGCGCTGCCGGGGCCCGTCCTCGGGCCCGCGTGCTCAGGCCCCGGGGCCCCGGGCACCAGCGGGTCCGGGACGGCGGGGTTGCCCCGGGTCCTGGGAGGACCGTGGGGGCTTCTAAGCGGATCGGGGGGTGACAGGTGGATGCCAAGGTGGGTTATATCGGGCCCAGCCTGGCTTACAAGTGGGTCACAGGTGCCCTAAGTAGCTTAGGGGGGGTCGATACCTCGGCGAAGCGGGCGGAGCCCACCCAGCCCAGATCGTTACCCCCCCTGAGCTACTTAGCCCACGTGTAACCCACTTATAATCCAGGTGGGGCCAGATGTGACCCACCTTAGCTTCCACGCGTGGCTTAGGGGGGTTAACGATCCGGGCTAAGCGGGCTCCGCCCATTTAGCCGAGTTATCGAACCCCCCCTAAGCCACTCGGAGCATTTGCAACCCAGGCATAAGCCAGGTTGGGCCAGATATAACCCACCTTGGCATCCACGCGTAAACCCCCTTTCACTTAGAACCCTCCACGGTGCCCTAAGTAGCTCAGGGGGGTCGATACCTCGGCGAAGTGGGCGGAGCCCACCCAGCCCAGATCGTTAACCCCCCTGAGCTACTTAGGGCACGTGTAACCCACTTATAAGCCAGGTTGGGCCAGATGTGACCCACCTTGGCATCCACGCGTAACCCCCCGATCCACTTGGAGCCCCCCACGGTCATCCCAGCAGGGGGTCGGGACCTCCGTGGGGCCGCGCGCGGAGGACCTGTGGCATCGCCTCCGCCGGACGTCCGAGACCCCGCGAGTTCGTCGCGGCACGGTTGCCCAACGTTTTCGGTCGTGGGCGGCGGCGGCGAGGGCGACGGCCGCGGCAGCGACTGGCGGGACCGTAGGTGGACAGAGATGCGTCGCCCTGGACTCCGCGGCCACCTCTTCCCCCCCCTGCTGTGGGAGGACTGCCCCTATACAGGGCCAGCGCGAGGCCGAACCCGACTTGAAACCCGGGGGGGGGGGGCGGGGAGGGGGCCATTCCGCCTGGTCGAGCCCGGCGGAGTGCCATTCCCAGAGGTCTGGTCTTCCGCTTTTTCGACGCGTGGACCGTCCAGGAGGTCTGGGCAACTTCCCCAGGGCCAGTTTTTCAACCTGAGTCGTTTCTTGACGGCCCCCGTGCCCGTTGATCCGAACGCAGCATATGATTACCACCACCAGGATCGAGAATGATATACGGTACGATTTGGCGCAGTTTTGCTTTGGTGAAAAGCCAGCAGTCCCCCTCCCGCCGCCAACGGCAACCGGGCTGCCCCCTCTCTCGTAAGGGCCGAAACGAAGTTCATCAAGGCACGCGCGGTGGTGGTGTATACAATTTTGGCTACCAAGAGGAGCGATTCTTATACACCACCACCAAGAAGTGCTGTTTCTGCTTCAGAAACTCTCCATGCCACGGCGCCTGCGAGCTGCGCCGCGCTCCTTTTCGCCGTGGCGTCGCAGCGTCGTCTGGCATGGCCCTGCCCCTGCGATCAATTACTGTTGCGGGCGGCGGTGGTGTATGAACATTGGCCTCGCACGTTGAGGCCCCCCAGAGGCCGAAAAGAGCAACAATAATTGTGTTGCGTGATTTGGGGTCCTGGGATTTCTGGGCTTTTGGGTGCTAGCTCAAAGGAGCAGGTGGGCTGACCTGGTCAGCAGCGCCCCGGTTCCTCCCACACGGGCGGTGGTCACCACACGTGGCGACGCCCGACGCGGCTTCCGAGGGGGCGGCGCCCGGACCCTTGGGCGGGGCCGGTGCCCGAGGAGCGAGACTGATGTCGCGCTGCGCAACGACGTCTCGCGCCATGCACACCAGTCGGAGGAGGAGAAGGTACCCATACCTCTACCCCCTCGCCCGCTTCCCCCTGTCTTGTGGCCTCCTGGGAGGCCCTCGTCGTCGCCGCCGGGTCCGCCGCGCCGTGCTGGTCAGGACGCGCCCCAGATGGAGGTCCGGGGAGGAGCGGTATCGGTACGTTTCTTGGTTTCCCCAACCAGGGTGAGCGTCTTGAGCACGCCGTGCGCGACAGTGCGCAGGACAGCGAGCAGGCGAGGCGAGCCGTGGCCCGAGCAGGCCTCAGAGCGGAACGCGTGGAGCGGCTGCGCCATAGAACGATGGGGCTGCATCAGTGCTCTTCCCACTCCCCCAGCGCCGCATTTAGGGGGCCACACGCGAAGCCTACCCCTACCCCCCACGATTTCTGAGGGGGTGGGTGGGGTTCACTTCGTCTGGGAGCTCCCAGACGAAATGAACCCCACCCTCCTCCTCAGAAATCGTGGGGGGTAGGGGTAGGGTTTGCATGTGGCCCCCTAGCATTGCATTGCAAACCCAGCGGGTGCCTAATCAAGCATCCCAAGATAGCGACATTCAAGAGCAGGCGAGCTGAGAAGGCGAGCGGACCGCCGTGTATTTGGCAACGGGGGGCAGCTTTCAGCCAATAGTTGATGTGCTGAAGCGTGCTTTCTGTATGTATTGCGCAAGTGTAGTTGTATGCCTTGCGCATGTGCACTTGAACGTGTGAAGGATGTGGATGTGGACGTGGGTTGTTTTGTATCGCTGCGACTGTGTGTTCATTAGCATGTTTACTCAAGCGTATATGTGCATATGTGTCCTTGGTCATCTATGTGCATGCGAGAATATGTGCGATAGTGGTTCGATGTATGTGCAGATATGGCTTGTGTGAGTGCACAAGACAGTCCGCCGAACTACAAGACTGTGGATGCAGTCCCCACTACAAGCGGGATGGGGCGCAAATGGGTGCTCATCCAAGCCCCCCTTCGGCTCCTCTTCCCGACTGCCAGCTGCCCCGGCCCCGAGACGCCCGACACACCGACGATTTTTGCGGCGGTAGCGCGGCGACGTGGGCAACGACCACGACGCATACGGCGACGGCGGCGGCGACGGCGATGGCGGCGGCGACGGAAACGACGGCGGCGGCGGCGACAACGGCAACGCAGACAGCAGCGACAACACGGGCGACGCGACGACGATTGCGGCGGAGGCGATGCGGACGGCGGCCCCCGCGCCGGCGGCGGCGGCGACCGCGCAGAGGCGCGGCGTTGCCCGCGGCGACGAGAGCCGCGCGCAGCGACTTCGACCGCGAGGCGGACGCGTGGCCGGTGCAGGCGGCCACCTCCGGTAGAGCGCTGCCTCGGCCGAGGGAAGGTGGACGACGGCCACGACGGCGACGGCGGCTGTGGCGACGAGGGCAGTTCTCGAATATTAGATGGCGGCAACATCATACTCCTTGGAATCGCGCTTGGGTCTCCCTGATGGCGCCTCCGGCGCCACCCCTGATGAGCTCTGCACGAGGAGGGAGGTCCAGCGCCGATCCACGAGATCCGCGTGGTGCTCCGACAAATTCAGTTTATGCGATTTCGTTGTTCCTCTAAGATCAACGAGGTGGATCTCCAGAGGACTGGACCCCTTCCCAGGGACCAGTTCTTCATCCTGAGTTTTTTTGTTCAGGGTCCCAGGGCCCGGCGAGGGCCCCCGGAGGCCGAAGATGAGCAAGTATCTTCCGTCGTTTTCCTTTCGTGACGCGAGCATGTCTGAGGGGGCCGAACTGTCGGAGGACATGACGGCGCTGACGCGCAGCGACGACCACTGCAGCCCTCACTCTGGGGCTGCTTGAGCGCCTCCGGAGTTGCCGTCACGGCCGGACGCAGCTCGGAAGGAAAGTGGCCAGGGTGCCAACTCTGAGCGGAATCTGGTCGCGCCCTCTCCTCCGCCGTGCCATCTTTTTGGCGGCGTCAGCCCCCAAAGGAGCTCCACCGGAGGCGCCAGTGGCAGGGCTCGCAGGGCGGCCCCGGGCCAGTTCGGCACGCCCCTCACGAGGATCGTGGGCCCGTGCGGCTGCGCCCTCGGGCCTCGGGGCCGCCCCGAAGAGCGGCTCGGGGCGAGGGGCGCTGTCCCACAGGGCCGGGGCCGAGGCGTGCACCCGGGCTCGAGTCGGGGAAGGGGGTGCTGGGCGGTGACCTTGCTGGGGGGGTGCAAGGAAGAAGAACAGAGCCCTATATAACGGGGCACTTGAGGGCCCCTTTCTGGAGCCAGCAGGGCCCCCCCCCCCCCTATCTATACATACATATATATATATATATACACATACATATATACATATATATGTATATATATATATATATATATATATATATATATATAGAGATGGATTGCCCCTTGATTGGGGCCCTTGCCTTCACCCCCCCCCAATTTCATGGAGGTCACCCCCATCCATCGCCACCCGCGCGACTTGAGCATCTCCGAGCCCGCGGAGCCCGGAGGCGCGGGGGAGGATGGGCCCCCCCTGGGGGGGGGCCGAGCTGCGCGCACGCAAGGCGCGACTGTGAAGAGAGGGCTCCGGCGGGCGGAGGTCTGGACACCTGATTGTCAATCGGGTATAGCCAGGACCCCAGGTAAGGGGACCCGGTTAGTAGTACATAGGGCCCTGGAGCCCCCACTGTGGCCAGAATCACTCAACCAGGTCTGCGTAGCTGGTGTTTTTTTTCGGGTGACGGCAGTTCCGGTTAATTCGTGGAACGGGGCGGGGGGGCGTCCCCCAGTACACATCATTAAACCAGTTCCCACTAAACCCAGTTTTGCCATCGCCCGACTTAAGTCAGGCGTGTCCCTCTACAGGAGGAATATTCTAAAAGAGTAAAAACATAGTCTGTGGACGATTTATTTTTGCTATGTTTGAGCTTTTGGGGGGGCATTTTGGGTGTATGTTTAATTTGTCGTCCAAATCCGCCTGTAGGGGGACACGCCCGACCTAAGGCTATTGAGGTTTATTACTGAGTAGTCGTCGACGCGATTGGCGCGAGTAGGCGCTCAGAGACACTCATGTGGGCGCCAGCGGGCGCCAACAATGGCTCATAGGCGCTGGTGGGCGTTGATAGTGGCAGGGGCATTCGTTGACACTCACAAGCGCTACTCGGGCGGAACCTGTTGCAAATGCCAAGAGACACCCTGCTTGCCTCCAGGGTGCCCTGGGTTTCTTGGGTTCCGATGGTTGTGCGATGGCAAGCGAGACATTCCCACGCCAAAAATCAATGGGCGTCCTGGGGTTTCAGGGTTGAGTTTCTTGTGAAAGGTTTCTTGTGGTCGGGCCCCTGCTGTACGGGCCTTGAGCGCAACGGGCTCTGAGGTTTTTTTTCGCTGCTCTCGGGCTCTCTTTGGGGCCCTCCCCGGGACGGTCAGAGAACGCCTCGCAGGATGAGGATCTCGTGCTGGGGGGAGGCACCTGGGGTCCAGGACCCGCTGTCCCCATGCTGAGCCTCGGGCCCCCTTCTCCTCGAGGAGCAGCAGCGACGGCGGCGGAGCAGCAGCAGCAGCAGCAGCAGGTTCCCGGGGACGCGCAGGCAGCGCCTCGGCTCTGGCCGCGGCGGCGCGCTTCCATAGAGCGGATCGTGAAGCCTGCGGCCGCCGACGCACCGACCTGCTCGCCCACTGGGTGCACGCGGACCGCCGCCGGGCCGAGAGTCGTGCGCGGCCGTGCGATGGGCTCGCAGCTCGCCTCTGCACCGTGGAGCGCGCATGTCCGCCGGCGGTGCCCGAGCAGCGCAGCAGGCGCAGCAGCGGGGGCGGGAGCGGCGGTGACGGCAGCGAGGCCCTGGCCGCGGCAGGGGCACCGGCGGCGCGCGCGCCGCGCCGGCGCCCCGCCAGGCCCCCGCGGAGGAGCCGGCCGCCCTGTGGGCCCCCGCGCAGGAGGCGCCGCGGCCCGCGGGCGGCCGCCGCGGGCGCGGGCGCCCCTTCGACTTCCGATCTTTCGATTTTCGCAGCGTCCGAGCGGCACGTGCCGCCGCGGCGTGGCCGCGGCGGCGGCCGCGCAGTCCGGGGGCCAGAGGAGGGGACGACGCGCGGGGCCCAGGACGAGCCCGGAGCTGGGGGAGGGAGGAGAGCGAGCGAGAAGCGACGACAAGCCGAGAGGAGGGAGGAGGATGATAAAATATCGCTTTGCAATTCTTCCCCGAAGCGTGCTTGCACTGAGGGATCCGCTTTTTCCAAGGAACTTGGCTGGTGTGCCGCTCTGGCGGCTTTGTTGCCGCCGTCGCCGCCCTTTCGCCGCTTCGTCGCCATCCGTCGTCTGGTCAGTGCGCCGCTTTGGCGGCAACGTTGCCGCCGTCGCCGCCTTGGTGTTTCATCCTATTTTCCATTTCAAGAATGCACGAGGACATTTGCATAGGATTATGCCCCATCGTCAATCCGAAATAAGAATCCATACCACCCCAGGCAGGCCGGTATAGGCTATGCGCGCGCATTCGTCGATCAAGAATCATAAGTTACCAAGGACCCCCTGCAGACAACGGGGCGAAATGCACACGCGCGCGTCGTCGCGCGCGCATGTCATTTTGTTTCAAACACAGTGGGTTTCGCAAGGAAATCAAATTCGAGTGTCCAGAACACATATTTAAACCAAACAACACAGCTTCGCAACATGTTCAACACAACCTGCTTCCCGCGCTCTTGCGAGTTCTTATGAAACCATAAGTGCTTCAATCTTGTTCATACTTTGCTAGCTAAGGGGCCTCTCGCGCGCGCATGTCGGAATCGCTCGAGCGCCCATGCGCGCGTGCTGTCGCATGCATCTTTTTAAACCATTGGACGAAGTGCACACGCGCGCGTCGTCGCGCGCGCATGCCGACGTACTTCACGAGTCTTAGGCTGCGTAAGGATTAAGAACGAGTGCTCCTAACGAATATCAAACCACATGGTTTCGCAACATCAGTGCTGAAACAAATAGCATGCGCCCGCGGACTTGCGGATTCTTGAGAAAACCATATGTTGTCCAATATGTTCAACAAATGCTGCCAAACGGAGCTCTCGCGCCGCATGTCGAACACATTCGGACGCCCTTGCGCGCGTGCTGTGTGTGTGGGCGGGGGGCACAATCTGTGTCAGATAATGCCACGCGGGCCACTCGCGCGCGTCGGCCGCGCGCGCACCCCTTCAAAAAACCTGCATCGCATACGTGAGGACATCGTCATCGTTATCGGCGGGCGTGATCAGCATCGGCGCCGTCTTTGGCCGTGCCGTCGTCATCGGCACCATCGTCGCCATCATTGTTACCTGCATAATCGTGTCTATCGTTGTCTGCGTCGCCATGGTACAGCGCCCGCCCAAGTTGCCGACTCGCACTGAAGGGGTCGCTGGGAACTGCCCAGCGGTCAGCGCCACCGCGGCCGCGTCGCTCGAGCCAAACTAGATGGCCGCTGTGCACGAGCATGCGCGGGCAAGCGCGGACGCACCAATGCACCAGCCAACGCCAAGCACTCATCGCAGTCGCCGCCGCATGGGTTTTGCAAGCCAAGCTGCGGGGTGGCGGGTGGGATGTTTGCAACGGCGTGGAATTTGCCAACTCGTTTGTAAACACCAAATCTCTTTTCTAAAAGGAGAATAGTTTCTCCCCCCCCTGGATTTTCGGCAATCCTTTTAGTATTGCAACTACATGCGGTTCTGCCCCATCGTCCATCCTAAATATGAACTCGTACCATCCCCGCCAAGCTTGTATCGACCCCCCCCCGCTGTCATCCTCTGCAAACGAATTTTATGTGCACGCGCGTTTATCCAAAAACATAAAGTTGTCCAGAGTCCCCTGCAACAGGTGAGACGAAGTGCACGCGCGCGCGTCGTCGCGTGCGCATGCCGGCGTCCTGCAGAAACCGTCGGTTTCGGAAGGATTTCAAAAACGAGTGTCCATACAACATACAAAACACATGGCTTCGCAATACGGATTTTCCGAAAATCGCGCGCGCTCGTCCGAATCTTTACGAGAATTTTTTGTTCTACATTTTCAGACTGCCACCTACCAAACGGGCTTCGCGCGCGCGTCGAAATCGTTTGAACGCCCTTGCGCGCGCGCCGTCGCGAGAACCCTTTGGAACCAAGAAACAAGTGCACACGCGCGCGTCGTCGCGCGTGCATGTCGAAGTCCTTTAAAAACCTTCAGTGCCGTAGCGATTTCAAGATCGAGGGTCCCAAAATCATCTTAAACACGCATGTTCTCGCGACATCAGTTTTCCAAAAATGCGTGCGCGCGCGTTTGCGAAATCTTGAGAAAACCACTGCTGCTCTTCAGCTTTGCCACGGGATTCTGCCAAACGGGCCTCTCGCGCCACATGCCGACATCATCCGCACGCCCTTGCGCGCGTGGTGGGTGGGGGGGGGGCGGGGGGGGGGGGCGCGATCCGCATCAAAGAAAACCGCACGGGCCACTCGCGCGTCCGCCGCGCGCGCATGTCGAACTTTGTCCCGGACTTTCATCGCCGACGCGAGAGCGCCGTCATCGTCGTCGGCGCGATCAGCATCCGCGCCGTCACTGGCCGTGGTCGCTTCTGTCAGCATCATCACCAGCATCGCTACTATCATCACCGTGTCTACCGTTGTCGACGTGCGATGATACCGCGCCCGCCCAAGTCGCCGACTCTCACTGCAATTCTCGCTGGGATGTGCCTGGCGGTCAGCGCCACCGCGGCTGCGTCGGTCGCGCCAAAGTGCACGCGCGCGTCTGCATGCGCGGGTTGTCGCGGCCGCAGAGTTGCACCAGCCAGTGCCAAACACTCATTGCAGTCGCCGCCGCATGGGGCTTGTTTGCAAACCCCGTTGCGGGCGAGTGGGTGAGATGTTTGCGCGAGCAGTGGAGTGGACACATCCAAGTTGAGCGTTGATCGAATCTCCTATCGACCCCTCCTTTTTCGTATGGCAGTTTACAGATGGTCCTGCCCCATCGTCCATCCTCAATATGAACTCGTACCATCCCAGCCGAGCCGGTATCGCCCCCCCCCCCCCGCCGTACTCTGCAACAAAGACTATGCGCGCGCACTCGTTTATAACAAATCAGCAGTTTTCAAAAATTGTTCGGCAAAAAACTTCACGGAGTGTACACGTGCGTGTCGTCGCGCGCGCATGCCGGAGTCCTGCAAAAACCTTCGGTTCCGGAAAGAATTTTAAATAGAGTGTCCAACAACATAAAACAACCCATGTTTTCGCAAGGCGGGTTTTCAAAAAAGCGTGCGCGCGCTCTTGCAATTGTTAAGACAACACTTGTTCGACATGTTCGGGAAATGCTACCAAACGGGCTTCGCGCGCGCATGCCGAAATCGTTCGAACGCTTTTGCGCGAGTGCCGTCGCGAGAGTCCTTTGCGACGAATTTGACGGAGTGCGTGCGCGTCGTTGCGCGCGCATGCCGGAGTCCTTTTTTTGGAACCGAAGCGAGTTCAAACCGAATACACACAAACCATTCAACAACACAAGGTGTCGCAACATCAGTTTTTAAAAAGACTTGCGCGCGCTCCTGCGAATTTTAGTAGACCATCGGCTTCCAACACGTTCACGCAATGCTGCCAAGTGGGTTTCTGGTGCCGCATGCCGACAGCATTCGCACGCCCTTGCGCGCGTGCTGGGGGGCACGATTCGTGTCAAATAAGACCATGCGGGCCACTTTCTCGCGTCGGCCGCGCGCACATATCGAACTCTTTCCGAAGCCTTCATCACCGACGCGAGGACGCCGTCATCCTCGTCGGCGTGATCATCCTCGGCACCCGCACTGGCCGCGTCTTCGTCGGTGCGAACATCGTTACCAGCGTCGCCACTAACATCTTCGTGTCTACCATAGTTGGCGTTGCCATGATACCGCGCGCGCCCAAGTCGCCGACTCGCACTGAAGTGCCCGGTGGGTTGCGCCCAGCGGTCAGCGCCACCGCGGCCGCGTCGGTGGCGCCAATCTAATTGGCCGTTGCGCGCGCGTGCTAGGGTCGGCGCGGCCGCAGAGATGCACCAGCCAACGCCAAGCATGCATCGCAATCGCCACCGCGTGGGTTTTTTGGAAGCCCCGTTGCGGGTGGGTGGGTGGGATGTTTGCAAGAATATGGGAGTTGACAGTTCATTGTGAGCAACAGTTCATTGCACCACGTAGATGGCACCACGTAGGGTGCACACCATCGGTTGCACCTTGTAGACTGCATTACCTACACTGCACCACCTAGGTTGCACAACCTAGATGTTGAACCGCATTGGGTGCACCACGTGGATTGCCCAACATACATTGCATTGCATCGAGTGTACACCAAATTTAGCATCACATAGATTGCACAATATAGGTTGCACAACGTATATTGCACCACACAGATTGCACCACGTAGACTGCACCATACAGCCTGTACGACATGTTATTAGTGGACCGCACGGATTGCCCCACATAGATTGCACAACACATGTGGCACCACATAGTGCACCATGTCTTTTGTTCCGCACCTCACAGAGAACACCACCCAGATGGCACAACCTAGATTGGCCCACGCGGAGTACACAACATACACTGCTAGACACGCACCGCTTGGGGTCCACGCTGGCCAAAACGACTTCGTCGGATGTCATGGGCCACGGCCGACCCCAGGCAGACCGACCCCCTGCCGTGGCACACCCTTGTCGCCTCGCGTTTGACGACGTGGACGGGCGGCCAGAGGGAAGCCCTTCGAGGGCAACGGGGCTGCCTCGGGAAGGGCTTGGGCTCGGCGCGGCAGGCGGTCGGATATTTTCTGGATGGGGTATGTGTCGGGGGGGGGGGGCGGAACTCCTCCTCCTCCTCCTCCTTTCCCTCTTCCTCCTCCTCCTCCTCCTCCTCCTCCTCCTCCACGTTTCCTCTTCCTCCTCCACCAACTCCCATGTCTCCCACTCCTCCCACTCCTCCCACTCCTCCCACTCCTCCTCCTCCTCCTCCTCTTCCTCCTCCTCCTCCTCTTCCTCTCCTCCTCCCTCCTCCTCCTCCTCCTCCTCCTCCTCCTCCTCCTCCTCCTCCTCCTCCTCCTCCTCCCCCACCTCCTCCTCTCCCTCTTTTCCTCCTCCTCCCCCTCCTCCTGCTCCCTCTCTCCTCCTCCTCCTCCCCCTCCTCCTCCTCCTCCTCCTCCTCCTCCTCCTCCTCCAGCTCCCGTTCCACCCGTTCCGGCAGCGCATGCCCAACCCCCTCCGCGTATCCAAGGTGTGGCGGGGGACGACGATGGTTCTATCCAGTGTAGGCTGCGCCCGACAGACCTCCCACGGTCTCTCCAGCGCCGTGGCGAATATTGCGGGCAAGGCCTACACACAGACCTATACGACCACCCTTTGTGTGATAGGGAGGTGCGGAAGGGAGAGGGGAGGAACCAACGCGTCACTCAATCGATCTCACGATTTATCCCACTATCGATCTCACGATTGATCGTACAGTTGATCTCACTATCGATCTCACAATTGATCTCGTTATCCTTTCCGCTATCGATCTCACTGCCGATCTCACTATGGATCTCACGGGACACCACGGGACTCTACGGGACACCACGGAACACCACGGGAAACCACGGGACACCATGGGACACCATCGGGACGTTAAGGCGGGACACCGCGGGACACCGCGGAACACCACGGGACACCATCGGGACACCATCGGGACACCACGGCGGGACACCGCGGGACACCATCGACACACCACCAGGACACCATCGGGACACCAATCGAGGCACCGCGGGACACTACGGGACACCACGGGACACCATCGGGACACCACGGCGGGACACCCCCGGCACCCGACCGCCACGCGGCTGGGTGGGGCTAATTTTTGCCCTCGGTGCACACTCGCAAGAGGGTTCATTTCTCTCGCCCGCGCAGCTTCGCCTCGCCCGCACGCACGACAAGAACCCGAATTCGAGACCGAATTCCCGGTGGGGGGGCTCTCAGCTCCACTTCGATCTCGCCCCCTCACCTCCGATCCGCTGTGCCTGTGGTGCCTGGGGAGATGGACATACACGCTGCCTGGAAAGGTCAGGGCGGCGGTTCTTCTGCGTCGTCTCTTGGCGCCCTGGGAGGCCGCTCCCAGGGGCCCGCTCCAGCATGCACCGCGGGTGTCCGGGAGGCTGTCGGCAGGTCGGCCACCCCCCCCTGCAGCGCAGCAGACGTACCCGAGGCTGTGGGGCTCCCGTCGTGGCGAATGACATCCCGACGCCTACCAGTTTGAAACATATCCCTATCCCCATGTTTGACATCACCTCACCTCGATGCCGATCTTAAGGATTCCCTCCGTTTCTGAGGGCCTATCCCTAAGACTGTCCTCGCTTTTTGCCCGCCCATCTTAGGGATAGGGATACGTTCGAGGCTGGTTGGACGCGAGGTGCTCGGCCGCCCTCGACCCCTCGGGGCGGCCCGCCGCGGACCACAGGGGCAGGCCAGGGAAACGGCTCTGGGCTCGAAGCCAGTGTTCGGGGGAAGGCGCCGAGCGGTTGAGCGGGCCGCTTAAAACGACGCGAAGATCGGGACAAAATCGAATCGGGATAACTCGAAATCTCTGAGAATCGGCGGGTTTGGAGGATGTATTGGGCGCCGCGGCCGCTCCAGAGCGTTCTGGAACGCTCTGAGAGCGCTCCGGAACGCTCTGGAGCGTTTTATCCCGATCCTAGCCCTGTTTTACCGCTGGTCAGGGAAGCTCAATTAGGGGCTGGCATCGGCCACAGATCCCTCCCTTCCTCTCCTCTTCTTCCCGGCCCCACGGAGGGCCGAACGGGGGCCCGTGCAACTCGTGAGTCTGAGCGAGCAGGCGCAGGCGCCTCTCTGACGGGCCATGCCGAGCCGTCGTGGCTACAGGTGGCATCTTTTCACACGCAACGTGCCGCCTAATCGTACCTCGCGCGCGGGTTTTCAGGGTTGGGTTTCTTGCGAGGGTTTCTTGCGGCCGCGCCCGCACTCTATATTATGAATCACTGGAATAGGCTTCGCTGTGGGTGAATATTAGAGCACGTGAGTTCGAACACGAGTGGGGCTGATTGTTGGTCTCAGGGTCACGGTGAATATGTGTGACTATGATTGTGACCGCGTTTGAGTGTGAGTGCTTGACTTAGCCCGAGCACTGGCGTGTCTGAATACTTGGGTCCGAGAAGGGGCAGGGTGGTGAATGGGGCAGGTTGAGCCGATGCATGAACGGCATGGATCTCATATTTTGGATATAGGTTACAAGGGGAGCGGTGATAAACCCCTCCCTCGGATGGAAGATGGGGATCTGCAGGGCGGCCCGCTAAACCACCTGCGCCTAAACCACCTGCGCCCAGAAGGCTCGTGGGGTTTTTGGCTTCCAGTGACCGGGCGACAATTCGACCACCAGACAAAAAGTTGGCCTTGGGAGAGTGCCGAGAAACCCATTGGCCAGCGATGCGAATGAATCGAGCCGCTGGAAGTTGGGTCTGCCGCCTCGTTCTCGACCTCCGTCGTCGTCGCCCTGCTCCTCGTCCGCCTGCTCTCAGACGTCGAAAAGAGCATCGCGCAGGATGACTCACTGGTTGTGCTTCCAGTGGTGGCCGTTTCGCCAGCGTCGATGTCATATTGCCTAGTGGTTGGCTCCGCGTGTGTTGATGTTTCGCTGGCAGTTGCCTTCGCGGGGAAAGCTTCTTGTCATCCTCTTTCCTCTTGCCTACATTATCGCCAGGTTTCTCCGACAGGGTGCGCAGCGACTCGTAGGCCACCAACCAACGCAAAAGGCCGGGTGGGGGTCCCAGAGCAATTTGGTTGAGGCCACCTCCTCATACCGATTTGCCGATCCCCACACTCAAGGGAATCAACACAGCGCCCGAAGTCCCTTTGTAGAGGGCCTCGGGCGTGCGCTCTGCACTGGGCTTTGAAAACTGCTGGATCCGTGCCACGCCCCTCCCTCGGCCTTCTCCCCGTCCTCCTCCTCCTCCTCCTCCTCTTCGCCGATGTATCGGCGATGCGGCGCGATCCTCCCTCCGACCTCATCTACTCCGACCCCATCTAGGAAGCCTCTAGCGATGCCCTGGCGGACCTCGCTGCAGAGTGAGCATCCTCGAACTGACTGGGTCTTCTTGACGTAGCGCGCTTTTGTCCTAGCTGGCGCTCGCCCGCTGCTCGTCAGCTGAAGACCACCGCCCCAGACATGCGACGCTCTGATTTGTTCAATGCGCGGTCCCCGGAAGTCCCGACCCTTTTCTCAGGACTTGGCTTTACGCCTTGGATAATTCGTTGATGGTCCCGGGGCCCGGTGAGGGCCCCCAGAGGCAGAGAGCGGCGAAGAACCTCCCGCCTGGATTTTCATTGCCACGGAGCGAGCATGTTTGGGACTATGCTGCTCCGACCACAAGCGCGGCGGCGGGGACGACGACGGCAACGACGGTGGCGGCGACGACGACTCCAAGACCGGGCGGAGGCCAACACGCTGGAGGTGGGCTCGTCGCGGGCGTCGGTGCGGTCACAGGACCGCGGGCGGCAGAAGGGGCGGGGCGGGGGGGAGGGAGGGAGACCGCGGAGGAAGACGACGACGACCGAAGCAAACCAGGATTTGCCCGCCGTGGCCGATTCGGGCCAGCGAGGAGTGGTGGGGCATTTGACAAACGGTGCGCCGAACTACGCGCACGCAGCAATTTGCAATATCCCCACACATATCCATATTTTCTCACACGTCGCTCTCTCTGACTGGGTTCGAGGTGCCTGGGCCAATGGAGCAAGGCGACGACGAATGGAAGACTTACGGCTAGGGGTGTTGTCCAAACTTTGAGCCTGCATGCTCAAGTTTTTGTGAATCATGTCTAGGGGCAGTTCCGGGCCCCTGGGGCAACCGACAAAATCGATCCAGGTTGAAATGCCAGCCGGGGTGCGCCCCAGGTGGCAGGGTCCCGGGGCAGATGTGGAGCCGGTTTGGGTTGGAGGAGGAGGGGCAGGAGCAGGAGGAGGAGGAGGAGGAGGAGGTGGAGGAGGATGGTCAGCAAGGGCACGAGAAGGGGACGGAAATCGAAGCTCGGGACTTGTTGGTGTTTGCGAGCATATTGGGGCCTCCGGGGACGTCCTCGACGGTCCAGAGAGCACCGTCCTCCTAGCCCCCTTCCTACATCCGACGATCTGATTTTGGTCAATGCGTGAAGGTCCTGACCCTTTCCCCTGATGTGTTTTTTCGTCCCAGATCCGTTTTTGACAGCCCCCGGCGCCCCACAACGGGTCTTGAGGCCAAGGTCGAGGAAACACGCCTGGATTGCTCAAGACAGCCAGGTCGCCGGAGATGTGGTATGCGCGTCGCCAGCAGGCAGCGCACGTTGGCGCGCCCAGCCACTATCCTCCAGGCCTCCCACATGGGGTCCGAGCAGATGGGGTCGGAGGATCGCGCCACATCGCCGATGCATCGGCGATGCGGCTCGATGTGGGGCGCGATGGGTTCCCCGCGTCGACGGCGCCGATGCACCGGCGATGCGGCGCGATCCTCCGACCCCATCTGCTCGGACCCCATGTGGGAGGCATCCATCCCCGCGGTCCCGCTGCGAGGCTGGCCTCCGTCCTCGGGCGCGCCGCGAGCTCCTGCCGTGCGTCGGACCACTCCAGCGGGGGCCCGCTCCGCCTCAGCAGGTCGGTGCCCTCGTCGACGCCCAGGGGCCACGTCGGCGGGGCTGCAAGCGAGTTGCGAGGCTCGAGCCTCGAGGCCGGCTCGAGGCTTGCAGTCGGCGCGCGCCGCCCTGCAGGACCAAGGCCACGTCCAGGGACAACGTTGGTCGGGGGCGGAAAAGAGGGGGGTGATGACTAGGGGGGGGTGGATATCATGGCGGGGGCCATGATATTTCCCCAGATTTCATGGCGCCCCTTCTTATTTCATTACGTCTCTGGCCCCCCCGCTGGGCCGCGCACATGCCGCCGGTCATGATTTGCCCCCCCCCCTCTTCTTGGACACCCCCCTCTTGGCCGCTCCCGAGATGGGGGGCCGAGGGCGGGGTTCGAGGCTCGAGGCCGTCGGGCGGCTTCGTCGCTGCCGGGCGGCTCTCCGGCCTCGGGGGTGCCCTCCAGCGGCTGCGCGCCTCGCCGAGGGCGCTCCGGGGAGGCCCGGGTCGCCCCCGAGCGGCCGCCAGAAGGCCGAGTCATGATGCGAAGGCCAGGTGGGCAACGTGGGGGGTGGGAGGATCGGCTCAGATGGGGAGGGTGCATCCGCCCCCAGTGTGGCCCGCTCATCGCCGATCGGGGGGCCTGACATGCCACCCCTCCCAGAATTGTGCGGCTTCGATACCGGGGACGTATTGCCGATCTACCAGCGATGTATCCTTGACTCCAGGTCGATGCGCATTAGCCGGCCGGCTATATCCAGCGAGATGTCTGCAATCAGTGTGCCCCAAGTGGCCAGGAAGTGCTTCACCAAAGCGGAGGGGTGTCATGACGAGCATGCAGAGGGGGAAAGGGTGCGCAGAGAAGGGTACGAATGAGGAAGAGACAACACATGAGACGGTATACGCATGCAATAAAACATAAACATGTGTAAGACATGTTTGGGCAAAATCTTCGTCGACCATTGAGGGTCCTAAGGTGCCCCATGGCCCCTGTAGGTCCCCAGGGTTCCTCGCGGAATAGACAATTGCCGTGAGGCGCTGGCTGGCGGGCCAGTTGCTTGTTTGATGTGCCTACTGCACGAAGGCGATGAGCTGGAGCTCGCGGGGGAGCTAGAAGCAGATGCGGACGGGCCGCAGCAGGGGAAAGAGGAGGAGGAGGAGGAGGGAGAGGAGAGGAGTAGGCAGTGGTAGTAGAGTGGGAACGATGGGCATGAATGGGAGGATGCGGAAAAGGGCGAGGAGAAGAGCGAGGGTGAGGAGGGGAAGGGTGATGGAGGTCGAGGAAGAGGATGACTAGGAGGGCCAAGACGGAAACGAGAGCGAGGACCAGGAGGAGACGCGTGATCTGCTTGCCCTCTGGAAGTGAATGGCGCCTTTGGAAGTTCGGGATGCTGGAAGTGATGTGCGGGATGCTTTTGGAAAGTGCCGTTGTCATGTCTGTCCTCGAGGCCAGTTGCCGGAGGGTGGACGCCGACGAGGAGCAGGCCGAGGGCGAGGAACAGGCAGAGGCAGAGGCCGAGGAGGCGGCGGACGAGGCCCGCCGTTGTAGCGGGGTGCGCGGGCGAAAGGAACAGACGACCGCTCGAGGACGAAGCCAAACGTCAGAACGATGCAGTCTCGTGACCGTTGTCTTATTTCATTGTTTTGCCGATCGGTGCGGGCCCTCGCACCTCCAACCCATTGAGTAGATCTTGGTTGGCGCCTGTTGCAAGCACGTGAATGAAGCACGGGGTCCCGCCCTGCCCCCGGGGGGACACGCAGATCGTTGTTTCGCACAGTTGTGCATTGAGTGTTCGGGGCGGACCTCGGGAAAATAAGAAAGGGTTTCCAGGGCGCCAGGTGCGTTGTAAAAAACAAAGCGTACCCGCGGGGTGGCCAGTCTTTGTGGGATCATCTGGATCTGCAAGTCTTGAAGATTCCTTCTGTTTATATCCGCCTTCTTCTGCCAATTGTCTCGGCCTTTTGCTGTTGACGCTTCCTTTTGTGAATAGTTTCCTCCTTCTGCTAATCCCTTCCTCCTTCTGCTAAAGAATTTCTGTTTAAGTGGTCGCCCGTATGTGCAATCTTTCTCCTTCCTTTAGAGTTATGCTTGTTTGGTTTGTGTTAGTTATTTCAACATCGTTTCGTGGTAGTTGTTCTTGATGTATAACTGTTGTGCATTCTTGTTTCTCAGAGTCCAGATCAGTTTAAGTTCCGGGCACTGTTTCAAACAGTCAGGCTAAGCAGACGTCCGGAGCAAATCCCTCCCTTCCCCCCCCATTTCGCCCAATGTCGAAACTCCGGATAAGTAAACGTTCACCTCTGAGGTCCGTGCGTGCTTCCTGGGTCGGCGCTGGACACCCCTCCCAACATCGTGCCGCGTGGGCGCGGGGGAGAAGCGACAGTGCAGGGAGGCTGGGGCTGAGAAGGAGTAGAAGGAGGAGAAGGACGTCGGCAGGCCCAGGATGATGATACGTCGCTCCAGAGCGGCTCGGGCCTGCGGGGACGCTCTGGAACGGCCGCGGCGCCCGATGCATCCTCCGGTCCCGCTTGCCCTGTGATGTTCTCGATTTATCCTGGCCCTTGGCATCGCTCGGACGTGTGCATTTTTCCTTCAGCGAGGACCATCGAGGAGCATCCTCGATCACTTGGCGAAAAAACCACGCACGAAACCGAAAAAAACACAGGAAATGGACGTCCGAGCAATGGCCAGAACCCGGATCTGTCCTCCCCCCGCCTCCGTCGCGGGAGGGATGGGCGGACTCCGGGCGCCTCGGCGAGCCCGAGGGGAACCTCTGGAGGCCACCGCGAGGCTGGGAGGAGAGAGGGACTCGCCGGCGGCGGGCAAACACGGCCGGGACCGGTGGCGACGGGGGCGGCCTGCCCCAGGCATCCAGCAATTCGCGATTTTTTTTTTTTTTTTTTTTTTTTCTCTCTCTCTCTCTCTGTGGAGGCTGTGTGTGGGGGGGGTACTTCCTCCTCCGCGGCCGCCCCGTCCGTCTGTCTGTTTCCCCTCTCCCGCAGGCTGGGCCACTCTCCCCTCGGCGCCCCCGTGCAGCTCCGTCGCCGGTGCAGCCAGCTCTGCCCCGCCGCCGACGAAGCAGTGTGTTTTTGGGGGGGAGGGGGGCCCTGCCTGGACCTCTGCGACCGCTCTTCGCCGTGCTCGGCCTATGGTGCCGAGCCGCTCCTCTCGCGGCCGCGGTGCCCGAGGCCCCGCGCCCACGGGGGGGCCCAAAAAGCTCGGCGACGAGGCGGCCGCCCCGAGGCTTCGTCACTCGAGGCGGCGGCCGCCCCTAGAATTAGGCTTCTGCGACGGCAGGGGCCCGCGCAGACGTCCAGCGCCGGGAGTTTTGCTCTTTGGCTTTGGGAGCGTGCATCCCAGAGCTATTCCCGTGCTGAAAAATAGCTCTCTGGAAGGTCAGGGCTGGGGGCAAGCCCAGGCCCCCTCGAGCCATGGCAAAGATCACGACGGGAGGTTTTTCGCAATCGTCAGCCTCGGGGGGCCCTTACGGTGCCTCGGGACCGTCCAACAACTGTGCAGGATGAGAAGCTGGTCTTGGGGAAGGGGTCGAGACCTCTGGGGGCCGACGCCATGAAAGAGTCACGACGTCGGGGTTCCGGGAGGGCGTCCTCCGGAATCTCGTGTCTGTGGGCTCCAGGGCCCGGCGAGGGCCCCTGGAAGCCGTTTTCGGGCGTGACGTAAAATTGAGAGGCAATACGTTATAAGTTAAAGATGAATGCACCCTTCGGGCCCTGAAGGGGCCCCCTGGTGCCCACGAGGGGCACGAAAGATGTACGTGGCTCCCCCCCCTTTTATCGCCCTCCCATTCATTGACGCCGAGGGCTCGGATCTGAAAGTCTTTCGATACGGCAGACAGCGAGGCAGAGCGAACACATGCGCAGTCTCAGCTTGTGAGCTCCTTGGCTTCATCGTGTGATCGACAATCGGCCCGAGTAAGAGCGGGGACGAGATTTGGAGACGGCGCAGGAGCAGCATGGAGTGGTAGCGGGAGCGTTCTTCTGCGGAGGAGCCAGCGGCAGGAGGAGGAGATTAAGGTGGGGGTGGTGGTTGGCGTGGCTTCGGAGGACGAGGGGCAAGCAGCATCCGCATTTGCGACGCGAACCACCACAATCCCCAAACGATCTTTGCACAGGGATTCTTATTTCGATGGCGTACGGAAGTGGATGCAGTCCGCCCGCATCGTAAGCATGGGACGCCTTCCCAAGGATACCCTTGCATCGTTGCCTCCTCGGTCAATCCTTTGCCACTTTCGTTGGCCGCGCCCCGCTCGAAGAGCTTCGAAATGGGCTTCCCAGATCCTCGACGTGATGATTTTTTCAGAACGTCGACCCCCAGAGGTCTCGACCCCTTCCCCGGGACGGGCTTCCCAGAGTCCGAAAATAGCAACAAAAATGCTTGTCGTGATTTTTTCATGACTCGAAGGGGTCTGGGTTCGAATGCCCTTGCATCCTTACCGCGCCTTGGACGCCCCCCTCTTGGCCGCTTCCGAAACAGGGCCTTGACAGGGGCCCGACGGGGCCCCAGGATGGCCCCTCAAGAGCCCACCCAAAGGAAGCCACAGCGTGGCCGGTGGAGGCCCAAGCGAACTGTCAGTTCCGAGGCGGGGCCCCAGGAGGGAGCTCGGCCATGCCCCGAAACTGCACCAGGAGGGCCCCCCAAAGCTTCCAGAGGCCTCCGCAGAGCCGCGGCAGGGCCCCTAAGAGTGCCAGCGTGGCCCCGAGAGGGCCCCAATGGGCACCCCGGAAGAGGCCCGAAAGGCACGAGACGTCCGCCCAGACTTTCAAATCTCAGGAGTAGAGAAACTCACAGACGCAATAATCGTCGATCCCCGGAAAAATGTTGGAAACTATAAGAAAAATGGGGGGGGGGGGGAAACGAAAGGCCAGCCAGTATGGAAAAAGTATGGGAATCCTAGGGTTTGTGTCCATTCATTTGTAAGCCCCTGGGCCCCATTAGCAGGATTTTCATCCCTGGCTCGCCCTGCTCTCCGCGGTTGGCCAATCGGCGGCCGCCGACGACGGACAGCCGGCCGCCTGTTGGTCCGCAGTCGAGGGGGGGGGGGGTCACGCTGCGGCGCGGGGAGGCAGCCAGAGACGCCGAGAGAGACGGCAAGGCTCGGGCTCTGAGCGGGCTCGCGGCTCCTCCGGCCCCTCCGGGCCTGTGCTCAGGGAAGGCTGCAGCACCGCGCTCAACGACGTGTGCTGCCATTTCGCGCCTGCAGGGTGTGGCCTCGCCACGTCTCCGTGCGCTTCGGCTTCGGCTTCGGCTTCGGCTGCCGGTGCACCGCGCAGCGCCTTCGGGCCAGCTCACCCGCGTCGACTTTTCCGCTCGCGCGGGTGCTCCCCCCGTCTCCCACCCCTCCACAGAAGCGCTTCCTCTGGCGCTCCTCGCGCACCCGTGGCGCGCTCGCGGGGCCAGCGAGCGGCGTCGCTCGCGGCAGCTCGCGGCCGGGCTCACCCCGGGGAGCGGGGCGCCCCGCCCCCCGCGGGGCAGAAGGTATGGGGGGCTCTCAGGAGGGCGGCGCTGTGACTCCGGGACTGCGGGCCGCGGCCCCCGGCGGGCCTATGGAGTGCGCCCTCGCTCTCGCGCGGGCTGCCGAGCGCGCCACTGTGGCGCCGAGTCCCTGCGGCTCCGCCAGGTGTCCTCGCGTCGTTGGGAGAAACAGAAGTGGCAAGACGGAGGGCGTCTGTTGCCCGCGTTCGGCCTCCGGCGCCCTCGGGGTCCAGACCTCGCGCGGGGGCCCTGTTGCGAGGTGGTCGCGACGTCGGATGCCTGCGCCTGGGGGGGTCTGGCGGAGTGCCTTCCCCCGCGCAGGTCCGCGCATTCTCCTCGCCCGCCCCTCGGGTGCGGCCAGGCTTCGTGGTCGCGGTGGCGTCCCCAGGTGGTGTCCTCTCCGGGATCCCATTCGAGGGGGATTTTGTCCTTCACCAACCACCAACCCACCCCAACCCAACTCGTAGGCCTCCCTTTGCCCTCCGTTTCCAGTGTGGGCGCGGGGAACATTGAAAAACACTTGTGGAACCCGTGCCGAATGAACCCGAAATTCGGGTCTTCGGGTTGGGTTGTGGTGGTCTGGTAGATAGTCAGTCCCGGGGCACGAGAGGGCGTCGCATGACCTCCTCTGACGGCCAGCGGGGCGCAGGCATGCAGTCGGTCCCTGGGTTGGCAGGTCGGCCCTGCAGAGTCGAGCACGCACGTGCGTCCTGTCGATCGCGAGTGCATGCCCTCCTCAGGGGCAACGATAGGGGGGGATAGGCATAGGGGGGGATGCATCGAGCCCCCATCGCCCACTGATCGCCGATAGGGGCCCGATAGCCCCAACCTGACCAGGAAGGAGGCCCAGGAGGCCTGTCGCCGATCTATCGGCGATGTATCACCGATTCCCGATTCCAGGTCGATGCATCCCCCCTATGCCCATCCCCCCCATCGTTGCCCCTCACCCCCTTCACGCCTGGAGCATGGGGGATGCGGATTCGGTCGAAGATGCGGGCTGAGTCGAATATGCGGGGACGTTCTCGATCTGCGCCTGACATCGCATTACGTTGTTAACCCCTCACTGCCGCAAAAAAACAAACGCCTGGAGCAGGGGCGACTTCCACGGGAGACTCGTGCCCTCCCGGGTGTCCCTCCGTTAGGCAGCCCCCGGCCGCAGAGGGGGGAGCGCCAGAGAGGACGCGCCGGGGAGGGGACGGGCTGCGAGGAGGCACGGGCCGCCCATCTACGTAGACGAGGCCCGCGCCTTCTGAGAAGCAGCTTCCTTTTAAAAAGCCACTTCCCCCTCCCCCATACGCCCTTGTGCTAGGCAGCCCCCGGCTGCAGAGGGGGGAGCGCCAGAGAGGCCACGCCAGGGAGGGTCGGCCGCGAGGAGGCACGGGCCGCCCCCTTGGCTCTGTGAAGGCGGGGTGCCCGCGACCGCCCTCTCTGCGGCCCGCCCCCGAGGGCGGCGAGGCGGAGGAGGTCCAGCTCGAGGGCGGCGAGGCGGAGGAGGACCAGCTCGAGGGCGGCGAGGAGGAGGACCAGCTCGAGGGCGGCGAGGAGGAGGACCAGCTCGAGGGCGGCGAGGAGGAGGACCAGCTCGAGGGCGGCGAGGAGGACGAGGCCGAGGGCGGCGAGGAGGACGAGCCGGAGGGCGGGGCGCAGCTGCTGCTGCTCGAGGACTCGGCGGGGCGTCGGCCTCTTCCTGGGAGGCCGAGTTCTGAGTCGGCGCTGGCCTGTATTCTGGTTTAGTCCCGCTCAATCAGGCTTGATCTCGCCTGATCCCGATTGGCGCGGCCAAGTCCAGGGCCTGCAGTCAACCCGCAGAGTGAGGATGAGCGACTCTCCAAGGCGGCCCTTGTATCCTTCCCCTTCTGCCCATCCTTGGCCGCGTTCGCTGACCGCACCCCGCTCGCACAGTGCCGACATGGCCTTCAGACCGCGCATCCTAACTGTACGGGTTGACTGTAGTCCAGCCTTCTCCGGCCCCATGGCCCTCCTTTGGTCGGGCCCAGCAGGCCCCACTCGTTCTGACGAAGACCTCCCAGGAGTTACCTCCCTCCTCCCCCACCCCCTGCTTCTCGCCTCCTGGGGGAGGCGCAGAACCCAGGACTTCTCACGTCTCGGAGCCAGGAATCGCGCCTGCGCACCGCCCTGACTCAGGAGCGAAAGAAGGACGTACATGTACATGAATCCACGCTGGTTTCGAGAGTTCGCGTTGCGCGAATGTTCGTATCGCGCGGCAGGTCTCGCGGGTCAAGGGGCCGTGCTCATGTACATAGCTGGGCGCGTACGTCCTTTGTGGGCTCGCTACTGACAGCGCCGTGAGGTCCCAAAGAGGCTCGCGTCCCAGGCTCGGGATGAGGCCCTGCCGCGGCTCTGCGCGTCGCCCCGCGGGCGTTCCGGGGGGGGGGGGGCGCTCGGAGATCGTCCACGAGCGGCCGCCGGAGGCTCGAGCGGTGTGCCGAAAGCTACAGTCGGGGCGCTGAAGAAGGAACCCTTTTCGTTGGGGAGGGGCTCCGTGTTCCTTGATTGCTTCACAATTTGCCTTCGGTTGTTCCTTTGGTTTTTGATGGGGGATCGAAGTTCAACTTGTGGATCGAAGGGGCCTCGTTCCTTATTTAGGGTTCCTTGGGTCAACGCCTGGACTGTAGGGCGGGGGCGTTCGTGAAGGCATGGGCCCAGGAGGCTTGAGACCCTGGGGGGGGGTCCTTCTCCTATGGGGGCGGCGGTGATATCCATGGCCGATCCGCGGTCGGAGTTCCACCAGCCTCCAGACCCTGGATTCCTGATCGAAGGGTCCCTTATCCGATGCCCCCACCGTAGGCATCCCCACCTCGTGAGCGAGGTGGCGGCCTGGCCTGCTTCCTTGCAGTGTGCGGGGCCTCTCTGTGGGGCTCCGCCTGGCCCCGGGGAGCTTCGACCACACGTAAGAGTGACCTTTCGCCGGAGTGACCTTTGGTGCGGGCCCATTGGGGTCCCCCGCTCGCCGAGCGCGATGCGATAGTAGCGTCTTGCGCGCTCGTGTCTGACCCCCCCGCGGCCCCCCAAGAAGCCGCGCACCAAGAGGTCACTCTTACCCAGGGTCACTCTTGCGTGTGGCCGAGGGATGTGTCCAGACCTCTGGGCAGCCATGTCTCGTTACAAGGGCACGGCGTCGGATGTCTGGGAGGGCGCCCGCACACCGCCGCTGGGATGACCGAGGGGGGTTCTAAGTGGACCTGGAGGTCACAAGTGGATGCGAAGGTGGGTTCTATCTGGCCCAACCTGGCTTGGAAGTGGGTCACACATGTCCCGAGTGGCGTAGGGGGGGGTGATAACTCCGCTAAGTGGGCGGAGCCCACTTAGCCTGGATCGTTAACACCCCTAAGCTTCTTGGGGCATGTGTAGCCCAGTTAAAAGCCAGGGCAGCACCATGCCTGACCGGGGCCATCCCCGGCAGGAGGTCGTACGCACCGTTGCAGGGCCCTGGGTCGCCTTGGCCAGGCGCGGTGGTTTGGTGTATACTTGGGCGTCTTGGTTTTCGGCCATCCCTCCCGGCCTTTCAGGACGGGGACGGGAGGAATATTGCTCGTCCACGCCCTCCTCACCCGTGCTCCTCCATCCTCGTCCTGCTCCTGCATTTTCCACCCACTCATCCCTCTCTCTTCTTGTTATGCTCGTGTCCATCGCCCTCGTCCTCTTCTCTCTCCTCGTCTTCTACGCCCACCCCCCATGAGAACCAGCTCAAGTAAACATGGTTCTCTGCTCTGCTGCATGTCGGTGTTGGCCCACGGATGTGTGTGTGTGTGTATGTTTGTGTGCTCCTCTTCGTTTTGGAGGGCTAGTGCTCTAGAAGCCAGCACGCTGCTCCAGTCGTATGCCATCCTCCCCACCCTTCCCTGCTCTGCTGGCGAGAGTGTAGATGAGGAGATGCAAGAGGAAACATAGGAAGAAAGGCAGAGGTTTGTGCATGTGTGCGTACGCAGGAGCGTGCAATTCTCTGGCACTACTGCGCCGATCTACATGGTTTGATCGGGCGGCCCCTTCTTTGTCTTTTTTTTTCTGTCGCTTCTTGCTCTTCTGCGTTGTGCCTGTATTCGCTCCCGGTGCAGCCCACCGCTCGTTTTGACCAACCTCTGGCCGTCTCGCACACCCTGGCGCCCGCGAACTTATCGAAAAGGTTGTGTGTGTGTGTATGTGTGTATGTGTGTATGTGTGTGTGTGTGTGTGCGCCTTGTGCGTGTGTATTCAGACGTTTCGTGCACTCCGCCAGCCCATACTGTATCAACCTTGCCATTTTCCCGTCTACCTGTGTGCATTTGGGCGTTGTTGGGTAGCTGTGGGTTCCTCAACCTGTCACGTGACTCAACCTGTCACGTGAAGCTTGTGTTGGGTAGTGCAGGGGAGGAGCAGCCGCTTGGTAGGCCAAGTGCAGGGATGCCGGGAGGAGACGGAGAGGAGGAGGAGGAGGAGGAGGAGGAGGACGAGGAGCAGGAGGAGGAGGAGGAGAAGGAGGAGGACGAGGAGGAGGAGGAGGAGGAGGAGGAGGAGGAGGAGGAGGACGACAGCTACCGAAGGGGCAGAGGAGACCTGGAGGAGGAGATCAGGGGGAGGGGGAGGAGGAGGAGGATAGAATGGTGGATTCAGCAAAGGAGCGGGGTGGGGGGGGCGGGGGCGGGCGCGGAGAGGACGAGCTCGGCGATGAGGAGGCCTTCTGAGTGATCCCGCCGCCGCGGCGTCGCGTCTTGCCCCCCGTCATGCCTGTGCTCCTCCCGGCCCTCCAGTACCCTTCCCTGGTGAGTGGCCACTCCCGTCGCATCCCCAAACGTAGGCCGGGCCGGGCGTTCCGCCTGAGACTGCCTCACCAGTGATGATCTTGAGCTTTGATATATGCAGCAGCTTCAAGACTGGAGAGCGGGTCGTCTCCAAAAGTGGCGCTCTCGCTTTGACGCCGCTTGCATTCGTTTTAACGTTCGGCAACAGCTTTGAGGATTGAAGGCGGGCCGTTTTCAAGGTGGAGTTCTCCATGTAGGGCCCCGCGCATTTGTTGTAACAGTTTGCAGCAGCAGTTTCAAGAATTGAGGGCGGCCCATTCTCATAGTGTACCTCTCGATTCAGCGCCGCCCACATGCGTTTGGAGAGTGCAGCAGGTTCAAGGGTGGAGGGCGGTCCTTTTTTCAATGGAGCTCTCGCGTTAGCGCCGCGGGCGTTCGTTTTTACATAATTACAGCAGCAGCAAGGATCGAGAGCGGGCCGTTTTGACAAGGAAGCGCTCGCTTCTAGCGCCGCGCGGAACAGCTTCCGGGATGGAGTCGTTTCCAAAGTCGTGCCCTCGCATTGGCGCCGCGCACATTTGGCTTAACTTCTGCAACAGGTTCAAGGATGGAGGTCGGCTCCTTGTCAAGATGTTGCTCTCGCGTTCGCGCCGCGCACACTCGTTTTAAATGTTTGCGGCGGTTTTACGGGTCCGTTCGGATCAAGTTCCAGGAAACGCGTTCTGACACGAGTTCGGAATGGCAGGGCGGACCAGTCACATGATTCGCATTGTGAACATTGTAGGGGCGGGTTTTTGGAGCGATTCAGCATTGACAACATGCCACAGTTATGTCGACTCGCGGCGTGAATGTGCCATGAAAGGTGTTTGGGCACGGTCATGGATTATCACATATTTTCTGACACCGAGGGTGCCCGAATCCAATCAAAACTATTCCGTGGCCTTCGGCCCATCGCGCCACCGTGCCCAGGTTGTGAGGATCCTTGTGAGGATCTATTGGGAGACCTTTTCAAAGCCTCTTGCGGGTGGATTGTGGCATTTGGACAATCACGCGGGGAAACTCCAGGAGCGCCCCAGGGCGCCTAGAAGTGCCCAGAACTCCATGCTTTGGACCCTTCAGAGAATAGTTGCAGTTCTTGATATAGAGAACTCGCAGAGACCTGAGGCCATTCCAACTGGTACCTCAGGACACGGTGGCGGAGATCGTAAAACGTATGTTTTATTTTTCCACTGGCGAGGCATCTCCCTTTTTTGAAGTTTTAGGAAGTGGGATCATTCCGTTCTTGAACGTTCAGTGGACCGCTTCCTGCAAATACTCTTAAATGGGGAGAGGACGCTCGGAGGAAGGGTTGATTGCAGCATCGTTGACGAGTCTAGGGCTCGCACTTGTCGCGTTCCTCCTCCCATCCGGCCGAGACTCGTCCTCCGTAGCTATTTGGGCAAGCGTTCCGTTCTCTGCACACTACCACGCCATCCGTCTCCTCCACTCCCTCTAGTTTTGTTTTTTTATGTATCTCTCTCTCTCTTTTTCTCTGTCTGTCTAACTGTTTTTCTCGAATTATCTGTTGTTTGGCTGTGTGTGTGGGTCTCGCCCTCTCTCTCTCTCGCCCTCTCTCCCTCTTTCTCTCGTGCCTGCCCTCTTTCTTTTTCCCAACCATCCTGTGGGGATCCTCGTGTTGAAGAGACGGCGCCCTGGGTCTTCCTCACTCCCTCACTCACGACTTCTTCTCCCCCTCCTCCCTCCAGAATCGTCAGCATCACCAGCATAGCATCATCATCGCCGTCACAATCGTAACCATCATCAACGCTTACAGCATCACCATCATCGTCGTCATGATCGCTGTCCTCACCGGCATCATCGCCACTAATGCCGGCACACCCCTCAAGCGCTTCGTGGCCCCATGGGGGCTCCACCCAAAGGTCCCAGTGGCACTGTCCACGTGCGTCCGCGCCACCCGTTTCGACACCCTTCTCACACGTTTCGTGGCCACCATAGGAGTTCCTCCACATGCGTCCGAACCGCCAATGTCCGCACACCCCTCACACGCTTCGTGGCCCATCGGGAGCTCCACTCAAGGCCCCAGTGGCGCCATGCACATGCGTCCACGCCACCCATTTCGGCACACCCCTCGCTTCGTGGCCCCATACGGAGCTCCACCGCAGGCCCCAGTGTCACCGTCCACAGACTTCCTCGCCACCCATTTCGGCGCACCCCCACACGTTTCACCCAAGGCCCCAGTGGCGCTGTCCACGTGCGTCCGCACCGCTCATTCAGGCACACCCCTCACACGTCTCGTTGCCTCAAGTTAGGGAGCTAGCTCCACTCAAGGCCCCAGTGGAAACCGTCGACATGCGCCAGCGCCACCCGTTTCGGCACACAGTCCACACGCCCTGTTGCCCCAAAAGGAGCTCCACTCAAGGCCCCAGTGGCGCCGCCCACATGCGTCCGCGCCACCCATGCTGGCACACCACTGACACTCGCCGTGGCCCCATAGGCAGCTCCATCCAAGGTCCCAGCGGCACCGTCCGCGTGCGCCCGCGCCGCTCATTTAGGCACACCCCTCACACGTCTCGTGGCCTCATTGGGAGCTCCACCGCAGGCCCGAATGGCACCGTCCACATGCGTCCGCGCCACCCGTTCCGGCACACCGCTCACACGTTTCGTGGTCCCAGAGGGGGTTCCACCCGAAAACACCAGCGGCGCCGTCCACATGCGTCCGCGCTGGTCATGCCGGCACACCCCTCACACGCTGCGTGGCCCCAAAGGGGGTCAGACCCACGGGCCGAGTTCGGCGCATTACTCACACGGCTCGTGACGCCAATCTGGAGCTCCACCGAAAACGGTATTCTCAATTGCGTTGTGAACAGTTGCATGTGGCTTGTTGTTTCGCCAGGATAAGTTTGTCTCTCTTTCTCTTGTGTGTTCTCTGTCTCTCTCTCTCTATCTGTATTATCCGTTATCTCGCTCTCTACTCTCTTTCTCTCTGTTTACATGTTTCTCTCTTTCTCTCTCCCTTTCTCCAATTGTTTTGTTGCTTGTTTCTAGTCAAAACCACGTGTGCCAATGATTTTCCCTATGGGGGGCTGTACCCATACGGGGGGTCGGGGTTGCTTGGATTTCGGGGATCGTTGTGATATCGGACACTTCGGGGGCGGTGTCTTAGGGGAAACACGCGGGGTCTGGGTCTCGCCGCGTCGCCGTTCAACGTTTCCATGCGCGAAGATCGCGGGGGACGAGGAGGAGGACGAGGAGGATGCCCGAGGAGGATGAACGAGGAGGAGGAGGAGGAGGAGGAGGATAGGGGAGGACGAGGAGGAGGAAGAGGAGAGCAGCGGAGTGAGGAACGAGGAGTGAGAGGGAGGGTCGAGGGTCCTCCTCCTCCTCCTCCTTCTCCTCCTCCTCCTCCTCTTCGTTCTCCTCGCTCGCCCTCGACTCTCGACCCTCTGACTCTGCCTTTCTCTCTTCCCCTCTGCTCCTGCGCCTCTCTTCGACCCGCTCCTTTTACTTTCCCCATCATGTCCCTCCCTATTATCTCTCCTGCAAGCTCTCTGCATGTCTCCCTTGCTAGCCCGCCTCCCTTCTCGCCGTGGAGGGCCATTTTGGCCGCCCGGCCTGATGGCCGCTTTTTTTTGGCTGGCCTCGTACCCCGACGGGTCGTCGCGCCGGACCGCCAGAGCCAGGGGCGATGCTGCGGGCGCCGGGGCCCGCGTGCGGCGGTCGCTGCACCCGGCGAGGTGGCTCCGCGCCCGCCTAGGCCAGCGCAGTGGGGGACGAGAAGGGATGCCGTGACGACCCCCCCGCGACCCGCCCATCCTCATGCCTCATCCTCACTTTCAGCGTAAAGGAGGAGGAGGAAGTGGAGGAGGAGGAGGAGGAAGAAGAGGAGGATGGGGGAGTTGCCGGGGGGTCGCCGCGGCATCCGTCATCGCTTTGGCCCTGCGCCTCATGTTCTCCCTCCTGCTCGTTCCCCAGCCTGAGATCCGTCCCCATCCGAACCCGTGCGCCTCGCACCGCCCAGCGATGCTTCCCCCGCCGGCCCTGTTCCCCTTGTCTCTACCACCTCTCTCTCTCTCTCTCGTTTCGTTTCGCCCCGCTCGCACCTTCTCTGCGCTCCTCGCCCCGCCTTCTGTGCTCTCGTCGCCGGGTGGGCTTCGCTTCGCCCGCTCATCGCCCGCAGGCGACTGCTGCAGCCTGGCGCTGCGCTCGCTGGGCGGCGGCGCCAAGCTCCAGGCCGACGCCAGCCTCGCGGCGCAGTGCCTCGTCAGGGTCGAGGCGGGCCAGGTGTGCGACAGCTGGGAGCGCCAGTTCGACGACGAGACGAGGAGGGGAGGGGGGAGGGAAGTGAGCATAGCGAGCGTCAGCGCACAGCATGGCAGGGGGGGCCAGGCGGTGCGCGTCGGACGAGGCGGATGAGGGTACCAGGGTATGTAAGCGGGGGGGGGACGGTCTCAGTTGGGAGGGCATGCGAGGAGGGCGGAGGAGTTCGGGGTGGGGCACTGGCGTGGTGGGAGGCAGATGATCAGAGGGCTGAGTATATAATAGGCTCGGCATGTATGCAAGATTCTGCGACGGTTCGCCGGGACATCCGAGGCCCTCGGATGTCCCAGCGAACCGCCGCAGAATCTTTGTCAGGTACGTTCGACAGAGCTGGGGGGATCAGTAGACAGTAGACAGTGTTTGGTTGTTAGCGTTGCGGCGGCGGGCAGGCTGTTGTGGGAGTACAACGACAAGCCCAAGGATTGCTACACCTTCGACGTCGCCGAGGCGCTTCTTTCTCTTCCCAGTGCAGTCGTGTTCATCTCTATCGCTCTCTCTTTCTGTTTTTTTTTTTTTTCTCTCTCTCTCTCTCTCTCATTCTCCCTCCCTCCCCCCGTCCCTCCTTCACTCACCCCCTCCCTCCGCCCCCTCCACCTCGCCCTTCGCCCCCTCTCGCTCTGCCCTCC